CATCGTTCCAAATCAAACTTGCTTATATCATTTTGAATTTTCTACGTCCCATTTTGAACTTGGCTATTTCATTTGTGAACTTGTAAAGTTTAGCACGATTTTTTTCAAACTGCTGTCGACGTTGCTTGAGAAGAAGATTAAAAAGTTCAGATACGATCTGATGCTTCGGCGCTAAAACACACTTTTCACTCACTTTTGTTGTGCCTTTTCAATACATATTTTCATTGTAATTATTCTGATAAGCTTTCCTCATTGGTATTCTTTATGAATTTAAGTGCAATGCTAGATAATAATTTTACAGTTAAAATAGTCAAATGTAACTAAGTTCTATGCTAATCGCTTCTTCTATCAAACTTCTAGCTTTTGGAACTCTTGTTCCAGTTTCTTGCTTCCCAGTCAAACCTGATCTTCAAAAATTTAAATGCAATGTCAATCGTTATCGTCTGTCTCTTTAAATCGTGTTTTTTATAGTTTTATTGTTCTCTGACCTTAAAAATGATTTATTTTTCTCCATATACTCTCACACTCTTGCTCGTCTTGGATATGAAGATAAACTACATCTGCATCCTGGGTAAGACGATAAACTACATCCGACAGCAAGGCCTCTGATATGAGAGAGGATCCCCAGACGAGGCTATGTCAAAGGGAAACAGCTACCCGACCCCGTTTTATACGGGGTCTACGGGGAATATTTGGCCTTGTGCCACATCTGACCGCGTGTGGCGGTTGGTAGATATCCTGCAGTTGGAGATTTGTCTCCAACTGTGCTGGTCAAACTCTCTGCCTCCGGACAGAGAGGATCCCCAGACGAGGCTATGTCGAAGAGCAGAGTCTCGTCTCGAGGAAACAGCTACCCAACTCCGTTTTATACGGGGTCTACGGGGAATTTTTGGCAGAGTCTACGGGCTCGGATAACCCACATTAAATTCGGCCTTGTGCCACATCTGACTGCGTGGGGCGGTTGGTAGATGTCCTACAGTTGGAGATTCATTGTGGAATTTACTTGACTCACTTCTAGCAGTTGACTACTTCTACGAGACGCTGTCGAATGTTATGTGTTGTTCTTGTCCTAAGTATTCTCACTCACAGTTTAGGTTAACCCGTGGTATGGTTTTCAGGCACTTTCCAAAGGTGCCGCACGCTGGGATAGATCCCCCCAGTCCAATGACATCAAAAAATCTCCTTCCCGGCAAATTGACCATGGTGAAATTCGAACCCGGGTCTCATGGTTAGAATACGAACGTTCTAACCACACGGCCACGTGCCCACAAGGAACAAAAATATTAAGAAAGAAAAAATCATTAAAAACAAATAAAAAATTCCCAGCTGCTATTTATTATCAGTCGTTCTATCTGACATTGATTGCTGGACAGTTTCCTTTATAGATGAAGATAAAACTGGAGACAACAGACATGTGCTTCTACAAAAGGATGCTGAGAATACCATCGACTAAACATGTGAGCAACGATGAAATTTTAGAGAAAATGGAAACAAAAAGGACACTTATATATAGCATCGGAGGGAGACAGCTGAAATTTCTAAGGGACATTACAATGTAAGAAGGCTTAGAAAATTTGACACTCACATGATATATTGAAAAGGAACAAGGGGAGAAGTGCATAACCTACCTAATGAGCTTTGTGCAAATGTGGCTCACAGAACAGGGATTAGTAGAGATAGCGAAAAGTCAAAATTTAATGAGAGCTACAAAGGACAGAACATTATGGAGAACGATAATCGTCCACGTCCAGAAGGGACAGAACAAAGATAAAGAGCAAATCTTATGCAACAGAAATGTGGTTCAACAGAAGGTTGCTGGGAATATCATGGACAGACCATGTAAGCGACAAGGAAGTTTTAATAAAAATAACGGCAAAATGGTCAATTTTACTTAATCAGAAAGGCACGGTTAATATTTCTGAGACATAAAGAAGAAAGATGGTTTGGAAAATTTGACACGCGCAGGATTTATGAAAGTCAAAAGGGAGAAGAGAGAAACAATGACTAAACCTACTTGACGAGTTCTTTTTAACTGATAAAAGTATTGGGAGCAGGAAGGATAATAAAAATAGAAAAATTGCCACAGGCTACAAAGGAGAGAAAATTGGGGAAAAGCCATACTCGCCCTCGTCCTGATGAAACACACTAACTATAATACTTTTCTATATGCGTTGTATAGCAAACAACATGCAAATAACATTGGTACCATATTGTATTGGTATAACTTAGCGAACATTTAAATTTCGTTAGGTCAACTGGTGAACACTTGTAGGATTAATATTATTATAAATAAAAGTAAAATATAAAATAATAATAATGAAACTTATAAATAAAATAAAATAATAACATAAAAAAATTGCATAAAATAAACTAAATAAAATTTTAAAATAATAAAAATACTCTCAGCATGCAACAAAAACTGTTCTTGCCAGAAATACGGACATCCCGCCAAAAGACGTTAAATTCAATCTCTTCACCACGAACCTTGGTACGGACAACACGTGTCCAACTTCTCTCTGTGATGTGGCTTGTAATAACACGCAGTAAATTTCTCCCTTTTATCACATTTACCATAAAACAAAAAGTAACTAAAATATACACACAGCAATACACACAAAAATAAAAATAAATTGTATGAAATTAACATACAATTTACCACGCTTTTCCAGTTTTGCGTACGTTTATTTCCTAAGTATGCTTTTATCTCTATGGACACAAGACTAATTTCTGCTGCTATAAAGTGAGTGACAACCCCACAACATTTTGGTCACCGCCGACGTGTATAAGAAAAACAACCTATTCACCGACACTCTAATCAATATCAACTCCTATAAAATATTAATATCGTAGAGGTATAAATTAAATATGATTATCAAATCCTCCTAATAATTACTATCTATGTATATCATTGCTTGAACCGGCTTCTAATGCTCTAGAGTGAGCGGTTTGGTGAGAGTAGTCGTGGCTCCAGGGGGCGCAGTCCTTTGGTTACCGAGAACTCAGTAGAGTTCCACCACGTTATATATGCGAGCGAGCGGCGCTATATTCAGTCTGATTTGCAATCTCTTCGTCACCGAGGCCCGGTGGAACAGTTGGTATGATGTTTGCTTGACAACCTAACTGTCAGGGTTTCAATTCTCGGTAGTTGATGCGTACTGCTGATGAGGCCCCAAAACGGCCGTCTAGTGCTTTCTGCATTCTGTTGAGGTTTCTATCAGACTCGATGAATTAATTAAATATAATTATCAAATTCTCCTAGTAATTACAATATCGTAGATTGTACATCATACCAAGTAGCTTTTGATATTACTGCTACCTATACTACGTTATTGTAACACACTGTATGTCTTATCCGCAATATACATCAGGATTGTAAACAAACAGCCAGTGATGTCACCAACCTCATAAGATAAATGTTTACACTTAGTGCATCAGCAGTTGGACGCGATGGGTGCTGTAGCATTAATAGAATTCAGATTTTCTGTTACAATGTTATTATTTTATATTAATTTCAGTGCTAATATGACAAATATGTTCAGCAAACACATGTTTGGAATATATATTTTGGCAGCCTGCTGGAGATGCGGTAAGTGGTGCACAGTAATTGTTAGGAGTGCTGTCCCACTTGTTTACAACTCGGTATTAAAGGTTTACATTTTATACCTACCATATACGTTGACCCCTGGTTAATATTTTTAGGCTTGAAAACTCAAGTTGTATGCCGCAAGTTATGATAATCATTCTCAAACACGGAGAAAATTCCGTCAAGAATTGTCCAAAATTCATTTGTGAAGTAATATGATTCCAGCTTTCAGATTTCTGAAGTCTTCATCAGAATAAGTGAAGACAAATGTTTGAGTTTAATGAAATTTTAGAAATAATTTTGAATAATTTTAAGAATTTTCTCCTTGTTTGTGAAGGATTATTCGTAATTAGGAGGAGACGATCAATAAAATTAATCGACATAAAATATCTATTGTTTTCAATAGCGTTCGCCTTAAAGAACATTTGCTGCCTAAATACACAAATTTTTATTTGAGTATATTTTGATTTGTGCATTAAATGAATTTTAGAGAATTATATTTCTATAGTTAAACAAGCAGTTAATTATAATTCTTTCAATTTTATATCAAAGTGGTATTTATAATCAACTACGTGCTATAAAGACTTAATGACAATGCCATAAAGAAGACGTTTGGTGAAACTGGTGTTACGAGAATATAAAATAAATAAATAATCACGTTACTTTGTGATTTCAGACAATACAGCAAATAAATTTTCAGATGATTATTCAAATTTCAAGTTGATTTTAGGAGAAGAGAGTGTTGGATTCACGTAATTTTACAGTTTAATTTTAAATTCCATAATTCAAATTAAAGTTCATTCACTGTGTATTGCCAAATAACTTCTTTTCTTTTTTTTTTGTCAGAATAAATCTTGCAAATTTATAAATCTACCATTCGACTTTGTATCAAATATTGATGCGACATCTGGTCAGGTGCTCCTGCTGTATATCTTGATATTCTTCTGTTTTGGTTGTCTTCTCAGAGAACGTGCGAACTGATGCAGTTTCGATCGTTAAGCGTCGTTTTCCTATAACTTAAATCTAATCGCGCCAAAGGTCAAAACTTTTGACTTTTATCATTCAACAATGTTTTTTGGATCTGCCAGGCAGCAATCAGATCAATGTCGAATTTGTAAGTTCTTAAACGACAGAAGCCTTATTGATCGAATATTTTGACTAACACAGCATTTACAGTTTAGCATGATTGAACGAGGGAACAAATCTAAAAAAAATGTGACAGATACTTGTAAAGTATAGAAATGAAGAAAAGATGAGTATAAGTCAAAAAGGAAAAGAAAGAAGACCTAAGGAACAAGAATTTTCTTAAAACAAGAACAAAACAGAGAAGAAAGGAAGAAAGAATTGTGTGAGAATAACAAAATAAATAAGGAAGAACGAATTAGATGTATGGGTTTCAATATTAATTCGTGTTTATTCATATCACGTTGAAAACGCTGGTTCTCGTCCGACTACCGAAGTTAAGCAACGTCGAACCTGGTCATTTACCTTGATGGGCGGTTGCTTGGGAATAGCAGATGCTGTAATCATGGTGGTGCGGCTCGGAATGAGAAATTTCAAGCGGGTTCGTTATATTCAGTTATGTACAAATACCCACATGAAATATATTAATCCACGTCTAAGCTAGGGGCTAAATGGTGGGACTTGCTTCAGAAAATCCTTATTCTCTTGAAAAAAAAATCTTACATGTTTCGGTTCTAAAGAACCCGCAAAACTTTGTTAAGCTATAAAAAAAAAATCATATAAACTATTTATACTTTAAATCAATGTTTCTCAACTGGTGCGCTCGCTTTATTTTTTTTCTATAAACCCTTTCATGAAAATTGTTCTGATGAACTTTCCTCTTTCGTACCTAGACTTTAAGCGCAGTACTAGATTGTCGGCAAGGTCTCATCATTTTACAGTTGAAATGGCTAGATGGAACCGTAAGTTCTATGCTGTCTCCTCTCTCGCACTTCTCGCTTGTGAAACACTCTTCCGGTTTCTTGCTTTCCAGCCAACTTTGATCTTCAAAAATTTAAATGCAATATCAATCGTTATTTTCTGTCTTCTTATTTCCTGTTCTTTTATTTTTCTCTCTTCTTAATAGTGATTTTTTCCTCATATTCCATCGCATTTAGTAAACCCTTGCGTCTTTATTGTCTTGCTTGGGATGAAATGGTTAAAAAATATAAAATATAGTTACTATACTAAATTCACTGATGTATTTTATTGTATATATTATTTAATGATATTGCAACAATTTTAAGTTGGAGCAGTAATTAAGAATAAATTACTAATAAAAACTAATGGAAAAAATACATAGAGCACTCTTGGTTGAAAGCGCGAATTTCTAAGAAATAACTACTACTGCTAATACTGAATAAGAATAAGTACGTAAAAATTAGCCTTCCTCTCAAGTGGGTGCTGATAGCTCAATGGTAAAATCTCTGACTGATGCCAAATTAATCGGGTTCTAGCCACACTGAAGAGCTGTGATACAGCAAAACAGTCTATCAGTGGATGACAATATATGCGACCCCATAAAATTTAATTCCGGTCGAGGACTCTTGGAACAAAGCGCGAATTTGTAAACAATGACTACTATTGCTAATACTGCAAAGCTCTTCCATGAATTGAGCCCTGTCGTTCATTGGCATGTTTATTCGAAAAATAAGTGCATGAAAATTAGCCTTCTTCTCAACTGGGCACTGATAGCTCAGAGTTAAAATCTCCGTCTAATCAGTCGGGTTTCGATTCCGATTTGAGGTAATCGGAAATCCAGCCACACTGATGAGCTGTGATACAGCGAAACAGACTGTCTATTGACAACAATATATATATATATATATATATATATATATATATATATATATATATATATTGTTGTCCATAGACAGTCTGGGTCACAAACTCACATCAATCCAACCAAATATGTTAGCTCTATCTCTGATATTGAGCGCTTTAATAATAAAGTACCATATATATAACATATAAATAATTATATATATATATATATATATATATATATATATACACACACTTTTCACATATATATATATTTATATATATATATATATGTGTGTGTGTGTTTGAAATAGGATATAGAATAGTTTTTAAGAAATTTGACAAATAGAAAACGTTTCGTTGAAAATAGATTTGATTACGCGTTTCGCCTTTCTAGGGTTCATCAAATCCAAAAACGAAAGAAATATGTGTAAAAAGTGTCAATGTTTCTATGATTAATTCATAGTACCCTAAACTGGCGTTTCACGTGAAGAGAAAGGAATAAAATCCAAAAATTACTGCGACAGAAAAGAAAAAAAAATAATGCAGCACAAGACAAAAAGAAAATCAGTAAAAGATATAATTTCAAAATTAACAATGACTCACATTAGACGAGAGAAGTTGATGGTGGAATCTTGACCGAAAGTGATAAGCGGCTCGCGTTATTTTGAAACACTACGAAGAGTAGGGTTTACAGACCCCTCTAGGGATGTGACCATAGGTGTACAGACGCCATTGGTGACCTTCTTGTCATTTCTAGTCTTTTTTTCCCAAAAAGTATGTGGACGCATTTTCATTTTTAAAAATGTAAAATCGGGGAAAAAATCCCTGTTTTACATTTTTGAAAATGAAAATCCGTCCCAATACCTACTCTTTGGGAAAGTGTCTAGATGATTTCCTTTATCTTTACAAAGGATAATCCTTTCCATTTTTGTCTCATTCAAGGGATTTCAATGTCATTATCGGCCTCTCTAAAAAAAAATAGCATATATCTGTTTAAATGAAATTTTACCGCTAAATAAAAATGGCTATTATTAAAAGTAATTTTCTCCTTAAGCCTACTCTAGTAGATGATGACAGACCAAGTCTTTAGACATATCCAGGACTAATTTTTTCCGTATTTAAATTTAAAGTCTACTCCAAAGTTTTATCTGGTCGTCCCATAAGTTCTGTTCGAATTTTGAATAAAGAAAACAAGTGACCAAATGTTACATCTAATTACAGATTCAATCAACAATGTATTTTCCCTGATTATCTATGACTTCTTTCCATCTATTAACAAGCTTACTAATTCCATTACTGTATAATTCTTTTGGATTTGATTCGAAGAACTCACAAATGTCAGTTTTAACCTCTTCCTGTGTTACAAAAGCTGTTTCTTCCAAATGATTCTGTAAGCTACGAAACAAGTGGTAGTCTGAAGGAGCAAGATCGGGAGAATAAGGTGGATGAGGAATTTTCTCCCAACCAAGTTCTTCGATCGTTTGTGAGGTGATTCTTGCTGTGTGGGGTTGCGCATTGTCCTGATGAAACATCTCCTCTTTTCGATTCACCAGAGCAGGTCTTTTTTTCCTCAAAGCTTGGTTCAAACGCTCTAATTGCTGAGAGTATATTTGAGCATTAATTGTTGCATTAGGTGGTAAGAATTCAAAGTGGATTATTCCTTGGCGATCCCACCAGATTGAAAGAAGAGCCTTTTGCCCATGAAGTTCCCTTCTCGGCTGTGGCTGGGGTCCTCTTTACCAAGCCACTGTCTACGACGCTTAACATTTCGATAAAAGATCCATTTTTCGTCGCCGGTCACAAGTCTATCCAAAAATCAAGAGGAACAGGGGAAAACAATGCATCATATCTAGCGACCTTGAGTAAATGGATGGCAGAACAGGGCTTAAGGGAGATAAGAAAAAGACAAAATTTATGAAAAGCTATAAAGGACAGGAAATTGTGGAGAGCCATGATCACCTATGTCCCGAAGAGACATGGCACATAGAAGAAGAAGAATGAGCTTGTGTAAACGGATGGCTGAACAGGGTTTAAGGGAGATAAGAAAAAGACAAAATTTATGAAGAGCTACAAAGAACAGGAAATTGTGGCGAGCTATGATCGCCAACGTCCTGATGAGACACAGCACAGTGAAGAAGAACCAATGATTTCAGGAGTATATACGTTTTAAGGGAGTTTTACAAAACAATTTTTACTTTTATCGAAATATTAGTTGGGGAGCATAGTCTAACGAATAGAATTCAGAAAATTAGTCTTAAAAAAACTGGTTTCGGGTTACCAGTACTTGGAGCAACTTTGTTGTTAACATTAAATAAATTCATTTGATACAACCTCATTGAAAAACAAAATGGTGGGGGAAGTTGTGGCGTATCTCCTTGCTTTGTGGCTACCATGTATCTTCTTTTTATTTTATTTTGTTTTATTTTATTTATTTATTTATTTATTTTTTTGACAAATGATTTAGTCAGAAACATTGAAGATGTTTCTGCAAAAGCATAAAACCAATTTTGATTAGGTAACCTAACTAGAAAAGAGTACCCATGAATAGATATTTACCAAGGTTAGTTTCACCCAAGAGAAATGGCACAGCTGGAAATTTTGTGTCACTAGAAGGGTAACTCGATGATAGAAGCTCTACCTCTTTTTCACTCTAAGACAAACACGCATTACATTTGAGTGATATATATTTTCGATGGCTTCTGTTGTCCTTTGTTATTTCCTTATATTAGTTAAATAAGAAACAAAAAGAACACGACCTTACCATCAGAAAAACAGTTGAAATCTCTGGGACGCATAAGGAAGAAAGAGGAAATGGAGAATTTAACACTCACAGACAAACTGAAGACAAAATGATAGAGAAAACAATTAACCATTTACACTATTTACATTGTTCGGACTGTTGTACTTTCGGGCCTTCAAAGAGTTGTCATTTCAATACCTGGCTACAGCTGCGGTGAACAAAAACTTGGAGAGTTGAGTTAAAGAGAGATAACTGATGCTGAGACATCTGGAAGAGGCATGGCACGTGGAACTAGAACAATCTACCCCGGTGGATGAAATAAAGAGTTCAGATCAAAATTCCAATCACCAAAGCGTACAAAGGCCAAAAAGTCGTGAATATGGCAACAAAGATGCGAACAACAGTCCGAATAATGTAAATTGTGTAAATAATTACCTCATCTCAGAAATGTACACAGAAACAATTAACCAATTTTTTAATCATTTAACTGCAAGCAAGACCAGATGTAACAGAAAAAAGAAAAAAAAAACAGCGTCGAAAAATCAATATTCAAAGAGAAAAACTGAACAGTGCAACTTTGGCATTGGTCGCAAACACCAACTTCCAGTGTCATTCGAGTTTGTAACACAATTCAGCATAGCCTCGTCCGGATTCGACAACAACTAAGAGCTGAGTAACAGATCTCAGCTAGTAAGATTTACCAACCTCCCCACAAAGTAGGATGTGGCACAAGGCCGAATTTAATGTGGGGCAATCCGAGCCTGTAAGCTCGGACAAAATTTCTCCAAAGACCCCGTATAAAATGAGGTAGGGTAGCTGTTCCCTGAGATAAGACTCTACCCTTCGACATAGCCTCGTCTGGAAATCCTCTCTGCCCGGAGGTAGAGAGTTTGACCAGTACAGCTAGAACAGATACCAGATGGTAGTATTTACCGACCATCTCTCGAGGCCGAATTTAATGTGGGGTAAACCGAGCTCGTAGGCTCGACCAAAATTTCCCCGTGAACCCTGCATTAAC